GCAGCAACACCACCACCACCGCCACAAACCAGGAGCAGCACCACCAGCAGCAGCACAACCACCACCACCGCCACCACCGCCGCCGCCACCGCCAGCAGCAGCAGCAGCAGCAGCAGCAGCAGCAGCAGCAGCAGCAGTTTCCACTGTATATAAATACCTGAGCAGGGCCCTTTTAATATGGGGTATTCTTTTGGTGGTTTGTTGCTCTTCATCTTCTTCATCTGCTGCCCCCACCAGCCGCAGCTGCCCCTCGGCCTCCACCAAACATTCCCAAGACCTGCAACCAAGCCCCAAAGTCCGCATGCATGCATGCATGCATGCATGCATGCATGCGGAGTTTGGGGCTTTTTTTGCATGCATGCATGCATGCATGCAACTAAGCAACTAAACACAAAAATAGAAATCTAAAGACAAAGAAAACAACGAAGACACCTATCAAGCCCCAAAACAAATAAAAACTGCACAAATATACAAATAAAAAAATAAAAAAAAATAAATAAATAAAAAATATATATATATATATATACCTATCAACATCTCTCTCCCACGCATACTGGCCGTAGTCCTCCTCCTCCCCCCCCGCAGCTAATTCATTATTAGAGGCCTCCAGCCCCTGCAGCACCAAATCTATAGAAGGGTAATCTTCCTAGGATACACACACACACACAAAATATTTATTTATTTTTTTTTTTTCTTTTTTTTTTTTTACTTGTTTGTTTGTTTTTTGTTTGTTTTTTGTTTGCTTTTTTGTTTTTTTGTTTTTTGTTTCTTTTTTGTTTGTTTGTTTTTTTTTGTTTGTTTCTTTGTTTGTTTATATTAATTAATTAATTAATTAGGTACACACTGAGGAAAGGGTAGATATATAAAAAACAAATTAAAAACAAAAAATAAATAATAAACAAGGAGACAGAGAAAAGGAGACAGGCAAAAGGAGACAGATACAAAAACGAAATAAAAGGAGACAGATAAGAAAAAACAAACGGAGACAAAGGAGACAAAAGGAGACAAAAGAAAAAAGAATAAAAAAAATAAAAAAAAGTGAAGCAAAAAAAAAATAAAAAAATAAAAAAATAAAAAAATATTTACAAGAGGAGACAAAAGAGGAATGAAAACGAAGATGTGTTTGCTCAACAAAATAACAAATAAAAAATATAAATATAATAAATAAACAAAAACAAAATATAAATATAATAAATAAACAAATAATAAATAATATATAGTAAATAAACACCCCCTAATCAACAGAGCCGTGGGGTGTACATACACCCCAACTGATGGGGTGGTTTGTTCTTACTGCATTTCGCTGCTTCATTTCTGCTGCTTTGCTGCGTAGACACTGCAGTAGTGGCAGAGGGTAGAGTATGCACGTGCTGCTGCTGCTGCTGCTTCTGCTGCTGCTGCTGCTGCTGCTGCTGTTGCATGCGCTGCTGGATAAAAGAAATTCGTTTTTTTTTGTTTTTTTTTTTCAGTGTATTACGTGCCTGGCGCTGTGTGTATTCGTTGGCGTCACAGTGAGTGTTTTCTTTTTTTTATATTAAAGAAGCAGCAGAAAAAAAGAGAAAAAAACAGTAAAGTAAAACAGAAATATACAAGAAAATAAAACAACGAGGAGATGGAGTAACCCTAAAGGGGAGAGGCGGTGATTAGCACATATTTATATAACAAACGAAAAGAGAAAAACAGGCAGCAGGGGGTGGGTTTACAGCGACAAAGCCACCAACAGCACCAGCGAGAGCGGCAGCAGCAGCAGCAGCAACAGCAGCAGCAGCAGCAGTAGCAGGAGCCTAGAGGTAATCTCTTCCTTCGCTGCGTCCCCTTCTGCCCCGAAGAACAACACAGAGGGGGGCCCCTAGGGTTGCTTGTGGGGGCCCCTGGTCTGCTGCTTACTGAGGCATCAGAGAGTAAGCAAATATGCAGGGAGAGGAAAGGAGAAAGAAGTTAAGGTGTTATAAGCCAAACACAGCAGCAACTAATGTAATTTATTGAGATAAATAAAAAAGAAAAAAAACAAATAAATAAACAATAATCATTTCACCTAAGCATCAGCATGCAACGGCCAACACCGGAACGAAGCAGACCACAAAGCCTCACTGGGGGGCCCCAGGGGGCCCCCATCGGCGGGCCCCCCGATGAAGTTGCAGCAACAAGCACAGAGAAACACATATTAAACTTATTGATAAAAGTTTTTGAATAATATTCATTAATTACTAAATAAAATATATTAAAAATATTTTTTCTGGTTTTTATTATTTCGGGCTAGCAGCAGTGAAGTGCCACAGTCGACTGCAGCGGTCCAGCAGCAATGGAGAGTGGGTAGTTAGGGGAAATAAACAGAAAAATAAAATAAATTAAATTTATTTAATATAAAAATATGAATTATATTTTGTTTGTTTTGTAATATTTGAATAAAATATTCCAATAAAAAAAGAAAAAAAAAAAAGTGGACGGACCGGGGATCGATCCCGGGACCTCCTGAATGCAAATCAGACGTGATACCACTACACCATCCGCCCCGAACTCAGCGTCTTGTGCTGCTGCAGCTGCAGCTTTTTTTGCTGCTGCAGCTGCAGCTTTTTTTGCTGCTGCTGTTGCTGCTGCAGCCGATGCTGCTGTTGTTATGAAAGCAGCTGCCGCTGCTGTAGAAACTGCTGCTGCTGCTAGTACGGGAGCTGCTCCTCATATGCATGCAAATGTTGGCCGTAGTTGACTTGTTATATATATTCTTCTCTAGCCTGAAATTTCACGTTTTCTTCTTGGGGGGTTTAGGGTTTACGGGTCTACGGGCTAGGGTTTAGAGTCTAGGAGGTAGTGTTTAGTGTTTAGTGTTTAGGGTTTAGGGTTTTGTGTTTAGGGTTTTCAGTTCAGGCCTCGGTGTTTAGTATTACTGCAGGTTTCCACCCGTGCCTGCTCTCAGGTGTATTGGGATCAACAGAAACGCCTCGAAGAACTCAAAAGATGAATATGCTGCGGAGCCCCTCAATAGAAGAAGAACTTATATATAAATATATATAAATATATATATATATATATATATATATATATATATATATATATATATATATATATATATATTAGTATATATTTATATATGTAGTTTCACTGTTTTTTCTTGAGCGGCTTGTAGTGGGTAGACACGTTTCATACATGCTGTACTATATGTATCCTTTTATATGCATTGGCTATCAGCTGCTGGTTGCTCTCTATTCTCTCCTTTTACATTCAGCTGCTCCTTCCTGCTCTGTACTGTCTGTCCCTTTATATTCATCTTCTGCTGTTTATTGTTGTGTATTGTCTGTCTCCTTTTATACTGATATGCTGCTTGCTGTGTCTACCTCTTCACTTCCGTCTCCTTCGGCTCAGCCTCCAGGAAACACCGGCAGCAACAGGGGGAGCAGCGCCAGTAGTGGGGCCAACAGCAGCAGCAGCACTAGAAGCAGCAGCAGCAGCACTAGAAGCAGTAGCAGCAGCACTAGAAGCAGCAGCAGCAGCAGCAACTAGAAGCACGAGCAGCAGCAGCAGCACCAACAGCAGCAACAACAGAACAACCAACCGCAGCACCTCCCGACGACCAACGAAATTCAAAATCAGTAGTTAAACATTAAACACTGCGCACAACGGCGCGACCCCAGCCTTGTATGAGGGGGAGGCTGGGGGCTGCCTAGCTAGCTAGCTAGTTGGCTAGCTAGCTGGCGCCTAGCTAGTTGGCTAGCTAGCTGGCTCCTAGCTAGTTAGCTAGTCCGCTAGCTAGCTGGCATCTGGCTAGCTGTAGAACGTCAACTAGCCACCGCTAGTTCTACACACAGATCCATACACCTCACACGTCATCAAAAACGTATTCACAGCCCCGAGACACTCGGGGCTGTCATACCAAACGGGGACCCTAGCCAGCCTGAGGGCTGGCTAGCTATCTAGCTAGCTCGCTAGCCGTCTAGCTAGCTAGATAGCTACCAGCGTCGCAATAAATAAGAAGAAAGAACAGAAAACAAAAGATGGATTGGCCTCCTTTGAGGCACTGTGAGGGGGAAGACTAACCACAGGGTGCCAGTGTCTGGCTCACTCACTGTGGCAAGCTAGCTAGCTAGCTAGCCCCTAGCTAGCTAGCTAGCTAGCTAGCTAGCCCCAATCCCCTCGATTCATGTAAAGCATAAATAGCCTGTATGATCTAAAGGCTTCAGCTACAAAAAGAAACAAAAGACGCAAACCCCTCGCCGATGCTGCTCGCGCCGCACCATAACCTGATGGGGCCCCCAGGGGGCCCTCCTGGGGGCCCCCCTGATGAGCTGTTTGGGGCCCCTGTGTATAAAATGAGAACCCTACTGCGCGTGTAGGGGGCCCCCAAAGGGCCAGCTACTACTTGAGGGTATTGGAGCCCTCCCGAGCGCTTCAGCTGCCTGTTGCTTGCCCGCGAGGGTTTAGGGTTTAGGGTTTAGGGTTTAGGATGCGGGGCCCCTCGAGTAGACCTCGCACGTACAAATTTGTGCCCTGCAGACGAAACCTTAACCATTCATGGAGCATACTATACTTATATATATATATATATATATATATANTATATATATATATATATATATATATATATATATATATATATATATATATATATATATATATATAGGTATATGCATGCATCATTGTATGCATTAGAGGCGTAAACATGCACGCATATACATTTGTGTATGCATCATATCTTATTGTACACAATAAACACATTCTATAAAGTACAGAATATACGCAAGTATACACATATATATATATATATGTATATATATATATATATATATATATATATATATATATATGCAATAGACAGAGACAAACAGCATACACCCCAACACCCCTCACCCTGCATGCACTGTATATCTCTCAGGTGCAGACGAGACACCAGAAGCAGCAAACTTCAAAGAAGACGATACGAGGACAACACTATGCAGCTTATGCATGCATGCATGCATGCATGCATGCATGCATGCGGCTGCTAGAGGAGGGGAAGGTACATAGGAATAATTTTTTTTTGTTCTAAGACCTTGGCTTCACTGCGCATGCATTTTTTTGCGGATTCATATTCAGCTTTAGCTTTATCTCTTTCTTGTTTGAGTGTAGCGACAACAGAGTTTGGGGATTTCTCCATGGTAGCTGTAGAGTAATCTATTAAAGCAATGAAATTACTTTCTGCTGCAGCAGCAGCAGCAGCAAGTCTGTTTAAGAAAGCTGCTGCTTTATCTAGCGGGGCCCCCCTCTGCTGCAGCTGAGGACCAAGCTGCTGCTGCGCCTCTGAAACAAGTTGTTTTATAGGTTGTATGCATGTATATACTTTTTTTTTTAGCACAGGTAGCTCTTGTTGCTGCGGTTGTACTCTCCCTTTATCTATACCCCTCAGCCTTCTAAACTCAGGTAAACACTGCACCCCGTGTGTTGCTGCTTGCAGCAGCACAGACTGAAACTCAGCTAAGAGAGAATCCTCAGGCTGCTTCAAACCCCCTGCTAGACGAGATGTAAACCAACGATAACGCCACGGTATACTGGGGCTACGCAGCGCAGCAGCAAAGGCCTTATGTGCAACACCAAAGGGCACCATACGAACACCCCCAGAGCCACCAGACGACGGTGGGGGCCCCTCAGCAGACACTGCAGTTGGAGGGGAAACACCTGATGAGGGGCCCCCAGGGTTTGTTGGTGGCGGCTGAGACGCAGCAGTTGAATCCCCAGTAGCTGTTGCAGCACTGCTAGACCCCCCCGAGCTCTCTTTTATAGAGGGGGAACCAGCAGAGGCGGGGCCCTGAGACTGGGCCCCAGGAGCAGGGGGAGAGGAGGAGGATGAGGGTTCAGGTTGACTGGGGCCCCCTGCAGCTGTTTCATGTTGGTGGGGGGTATAGAGATGCTGAAGCTCCGGTGGGAGAGCATCTTCTATGTCATCCTCGAGGAGTGCTGCTGCTGCTGCTGCTGAATGCAAATCTGAAACTGTTAACACCAACAAACTTGATAGGTCCGGCACATTAGAAAAAGCTGCAGCAGGACGGTGCTCCCGGGGGCCCCCCAAGGGGGCCCCCAAAGCCGCCAGGGGAAGGAGCCCCAGGAAACAGAAAACAAGCATCGTCGTGTCTGTCGCTGCTGCTGCTGCTGCTGCTGCTGCAGCAACTGCTGCTGTTACGAGGTCCCCCCTCTCGCACCACAGTGCTGCTGCTGCTGCTGCTGCTGCTGCTTCAGCCGTTGCTGCTGAAGCTATTGCAGCAGCGGGCCGGCAGGAGAGGAGGCCCCCCCCGTACTTCTACCGCCCGCCGCACCCGTTATCTCTTGGTTTATGATATCAAACTT